AAAAAAAAAAGAGTAACAAAGTAACAATAATGAAGCTTTATTCCTGGTTTTCCAGTTTTGAGGCTTTAAATTTTAAGTAATTTATAAGCGTTAAGAGATGCCTGCATACACTACGACAGTTAATAATTAGGAAAAATAGCAGTACAGACTCTCATCAACAAAAGGAGTCAAACGTTAACCTGATACAATCCAGAACAACATGTTTAAATAACACATGATTAGGGGTTGTAAAACTCTGAGCCAAGGTTATACCCCTCATAAATATAAACACACACTAAGTAAACACCTGTTTTATGGCAGAGCCCATTTCATCCATCTTGAAGCAGTTGTCGGTTTCTCTGACAGAAGTATTTCCTTCTCTCATTTTAATTTTCCACTTTGTCAGTAAACTTCACTAAGAAAGGTACTTCTCCTTCATAGTGTGTATATAATGTACATACAGTGCTGTGAAAAAGGATTGGCCCACTTCATGATGCCTTATCTTTTTGCATATTTGCCACATTTACATGTTTCAGATGATGGAACCAATTTTAATATTAGACAAAGATAACTCGGGTAAATACTGGTTGACAGTTATCTAAACCCACCTGGCCCTACGTGGAAAAGTAAATGGCCCCTAAACTTAATAACTGGTTGTGCAATGAGTCATTCACATCGCGGTGGAAAAACTTTGGCCCACTTTGGAAAACTATTTTTATTCCATTTCATTTTGAGCATGAACAGCCTCTTTAAGGTCATGCCGAAGCATCTCAGTAGAATTTGAGTCCAGACTTCGACTAGACCACTCCAAACACTTCCGGAATGTTTTGGATCATTGTTCTGCTGCATAACCTGAGAACACTTAAGCTTGACTGATGATGGATGGTCTTCTTTGTGTAAAGAGCAGAATTCTTGGTTCCATCAGTTATGGCAAGTCATTCAAGTCCTGAAGTAGCAGAGCAGGACCAGATCACCATTGCCAATTCGCTTTCTTATTGTTGAATCATGAACTCTGACCGTAATTGAGGCAAGTGACCTTTCAGCCTACTTCATTTCTCACTTTCTTGATTTATCTGATCTGGCAGATGAATGAAATCATTGTTTAAAAAATGCATTTTGTATTTACTCAGGTTATCTTTGTCTAATATTAAAATTTGTTTGACAATTTGTGTGACATATATGCAGAAACGTAAAAGATCAGGAAGACTCTATCTCTATTCTCTGCATGTAGGTGTAACAATTTCACATCGCGTCTCATTCAAAAGAGGTTTCACTACCTTCTTTTTTCATGCCAGCTCTGAAGCATTTGTTGAGTCTGCAGAAACGACACTGGTTCCTCTTATCTTTATCCACGACGCACTGTCTGCTGAACCTTCAGAACATGCAAAGTTATCAGAGCAAGAAAATTGTGACATATCACTCAACAATAAAGTATGCAACCCTGAAACAAAAAGCAAATTATCACTATTTTTGGCAAATTATCTTAAGGGTGCATGCGTATAAAAGCACATTTGTGATGATATTTATGACAATTGCATGAACTATTTCTTACATTTCCCACATGCATACACACATTGTGCATTTCATGCTTCCACAGTGTATCTTTGCAAACTGTACCTGCAGGTATAGACGTGGCTCTTGCGTATCGAGCGTCTGAAGAAGCCTTTGCAGCCATCACAGCTGGAGGCTCCATAGTGTTTCCCTGTGGCTTTATCTCCACAGATTGCACAGTTACTAATGATCCCATCTTGACCAGGCAGGCTTGGCTCTGTCGGCATGCTGTCTGGAGCACCAAAAAAACAAAACAAAACACTCACACAGGTAAATACAAATACATATGCATGTCATCATTCTTCCAAAAGTGATTCACTTTGTGCATTTTATGATAATGATGGAGATTTTGACACTTTGGTCCTGAATCTCCAATAACCAGATATGAAAGACCGTAGGCTACAGTTCAAATTATTTTCACACATTTCAAGCTATTCAGGTGCTCACTGCAAAATCTAGAAAAGGAATTCTTGTGTCCTCAAACCATTTATCACTGAAGGAAACCCATAACACTGCTGATACTTCTCTGGTAAATGTGTTGTGCATTGTGTTGGAGGATGTCTGGTATTACCAGACATTGCTGTTAATGACAAAACATGATTGTCATTGTCTTTATTTCTATTTTTATGTCTTTATTGTCATCATCAACATAATCTCTACCATTATCACCAGCACCAGCATCGTCACTGTAATAGAAACCATCACCATCGTCACTGCCTCCATCTAAGTTGTTCTGTTAAAGTCTACTAAATGGAACCTGCTGTCGATCGAGTAAAAACTCAAGACGCATTGAACACATACATGTTTAAATTTCTACTGCGCACAACTCATTTGGTCTCACACAGGCCAGTGCCATTGTTAAATGAGTCAATGAGTGTCTACAGTAAATGTTTGACTAATTTTCCTTCCATGCTGAGGTAACGCCCGTGTATCACAGAGATTTGTGCTTGCTGTCCAGTAAAATATCTTTATGACACATTCCTGCAGTTTCTGCCTAAACTGCTTGGTTATCATTCATTTAGTCCCCCTCAAACTTTGACACAGCCCTTTTATTTCCTTCACAACACACACTTCCTTTCATGATGCATACACACATACACAGGCAGCAACAGGCAAGTGGGATTTACTATACATAATGTTGTCAAGCAAGACACACATACACACTGGCAGTCAGTATTAAAACATCAGTCAGAGTTTCCCAAGCAGTGCACTTGAGCATATCAAACA